AGGCACAAAGCCATGGCAGATCACTCTAATAGCATAGCAGAAAAACCAATCTCACACTTCTAGGAAGGAAAATAAGACCTGAGAACAGCCTTTGAAGGCGAAGGGTAAAGTACAAAGGGAAAGGTGCTGAAGTGGTGCATCAGCTGGAAGGGGAACTGGGCTCTAATGTGACATTCTGCATTAATGATGCTAATTTATGTCTGGGTAAGTGTGTGTGCATGACACAGAGGAAATTTGAAGAGGTCTATATTATACCACGGTGGAGCTCATCTTCAATCTCTTGGAAGGGTACGTGCTTTACACTGGAACTCCCTCACATGGGCATATATTATGTAGATTCTGTGTCAGTTTCATATGAACAAATCACTTGTCTCCTTAAATCTACTCTGGAGCATTTCCAATCTGTTCTTTACACTGCAGCCAGAATGATCCTTCTGAAAAACAAATGTGAACACTGCTCCCCATCTTCCCCACATTTAAACATTTTAACACTTCCCTTTATTCCTAGGATAAAAAAATAATAGAGTCCTCTTCTACCCTCAAGGCTCAGCAAGATGTGGCTTCTGTCTAATGCCAGTCCTGTGGGAACTCAAGCCACATGGGGCATCTTTCACTTGCCTGGACACACACTCTGTGCTGCTTGGACATGCCATTCTCTTGCCCTGAATCATGCCTCTTGTTCCTCCTCAACACAGCTAACTCCTACTATGGCTTTAGGATTTAGTCCTCTCACCCCTTCACCAGGGGAGCTTCCCATCTCTGGGTCCAATAGTCTTTTACACACACTCGCAGCACCACAAATTCTTCCTTTACAGTGCCCAGCACAGTTACAATCGTACATTCATCTTTGTTATTCTGGATTAATGTATTTCCCCAGAGGGCCTGCTATTCCAAGTCCCTGGCTCCTAACCCCATGCTTGGCACACAGTAAGTGTCCAATAAGTAGCTCTCGAATAAACAAATGAAAAACGACCACCCATCTACCCACACTATTGTCAAGGCTTTCCTGAATGTGAAGGCTCCTCTTTAGACTCTGAAGAATAGGTCATTTCACACCAGAAATTTGACAGGTCACCCTTGTGATGAGTACAGAAAATATCACTCCTAGGCTTTAGTAGTTTCCACAAGAACAGGAGGTCCCTTTTATTATATGGGTTATTAATGCAATGAAATGGAAGTTTACTAATGCATTATATGCACTATACGGAAGTGCACAAAAGGGGATGTGAAAAAAACAGAAAAGGTCAGCTATGGTGCTGATTATTTACTAATCCTAATACTTAAGATCATTTTTATCAAGCAATTTTGCTTTATTTCACAATATCCCAAATGCTACGATTGGTCTTCAAACTCTGATCATTGTGCCTGAATTTCACTCAACAAATATTTATTGCGTATATTTATTACATGCCAGTCACTGTGTTAGACCCTGTGATACATGCTGAGCAAGAGACCCAGGGTGCTTATTCTAAGGAGGACATAGACAACACAGATTGATAGTCATTTCAGATTAGTGTGTGACTCAGGCTGATAAGGAAAGAAGTCATGTTCTATGTGAGATCATTTCCACTGTTTCAACATGGTCTTAAGCAATCCAAATGCCTCATCGGAGTAACCTGTATCATTATTGTTCTGTGATATCAAGCAGATCACAGAATTTTCACCTGATGAAGGATTAGAGGCTTTTATGTTTTAGCTTCACAGTCTCCCATAAGAATTTAAATGTACTTACTCCCCCTGTTTAAATAAATGACTAGGGAAAACACAAGGTATATCTTCTCTAAGGAGTCACTATAATCCCTCAAAATCTCTATTGCCAGTTTTGACGTACCCCAAAGGATCAGAGTGCCGTCTTCACTAAGATCCATATCTCAATAGAGCATCTGTTTCACGGCAGGAGACTCTTCATTTGGTTTTCGTGATACGTAATTCAAGAAGCAGTCAGTCACACAGAAACGCTAAAGACATCTATGGAGAGACAGTAAAGTTCACAAAGACTGAATCAAGACTCTCTTCATAACCACTCTAAACCTTAAGACCTAGGACAGTAGTGGCGGCATAACCGGCCCTCGACAATTCTGGGTTAAATGTTGCTGGATGAATGATGATTCTTTGAGAATATGAGGTGGTTGAAGCATAGGACCATAATGGATGGAAAGAGGAAAACTAATATTGAAGTGGTGAGGTCATCAAGCGGAAAAGCCACAGAGGAAGGACACCAAGAACCGAATGCTTTTGGTCCCCTTTTGACAAAGGCCATAGACTCATCAATCGTTGGTCAGAAAGCTGGGAGAATCTCAGGAACAGACGAATGGCAGCTCTGAGGGGCCACAGCTCAAGACTAATGCTCTAGCCATTCGTCTTCAAAGGAGAAGAACAATCAGCAGATTGAGAAATTCTTCTGTTTACACTCCTGAACAAATAAACTAATTGCATCTTTGTTTTTAACCTACCAAATCAAAGCTTGATTGCAGGTCATTAGTGACCACTAATACATGAAACTGTTTGCATTTCACTGGTCTATCTGAATTACACAGTCTTGCCTTGCACACCAGCTCAATCAAGCTTCCAAAGGGAAACCCCGTTATCAGGCTTCAAGCGGGACGAAAACCAAACTGGTAATCAGCCTCTGCAATTGAACTGTGATGCAGAAGAATTCATTATCCTGGTTCATTGTTGAACTAGCCATTCCCTTTGTAGGGGAGACATGCTCTTTGGGCCCAAAGAGTATGCAACCACCTCTATGAACGTTTCCAATTATTCCCAATAACTGCTAATGTTGTACTGGTGAGCAACACGGACCCGCTTATGTGATCCTAGGAGAGGCAATCCACAATTCCCAACACGGTGGCTGATTAAAGTGCGGATAAGGGCAGAGAGCACATGGGGGATTGTCAGAAAGATCAAGGGACAGGAAGAGAGGCTATTTGGCAAAAGAGGGCAGGCAAGGTAGGGACTCTATGGCTAGGTCAATAGTGCATACGTACACACACATCAACTAGGTAGTCCAGAATTTAAGAGAGTCCAGTTGAGGCTTTGGATTACCCATGCTAGAAGCCAAGACTCTTAAAAAGAATTGGATCATTGTCAAGCCTCCATTTCATTTTGTGCTGAGCAGTCACGGAGGGGCAGGGAGTGACTAACAGAGATTAACGATCTCAGAAATATTTGAGGACTTTCTAACATAGCAACTGCCATTTGGGAGCAAATCCCTGGTCCACCTCATCTAACGTTCTGTTGCTTCAAAAGGTGTCCCCTGGGGAATGCCATGTTCGCCTACCAACGTGCTGAGGTCAAAGAATTGGAGGAGGTGCTAACAAGGCAAGGGACGACAGCCCATTTTTACCTTTTAATCTAGGCTAGCTACTGAGCACATGACCTATGCCTCAGCTCAACATGTACAATGACAATCTAGAGTTCCATGCAGTTTAAAAAGCTCTTTCAAATGAATTATCCTGCTCATCTTTATTTATATCAGCCCCTGAAAAAGTGAGATTATTAATAACACAGTAATGGTGGAAAATGCAAGCTTTTGAGTCAACTTCTCTTTTTAAGTCCTGGTTTTTCCACTTACTAGCAATGTGACCTTCAGCTTACTTAGCTTTTCTCATCTGTAGAACACAGACCATGATGGTACCTACATTCATAAGGGGATTGTAAAACTCTAATACGTAATGAACGAAAGGAAGTGCTTAGCGTACTTCAACATGCTACATAACAAGTGCTCAGTAAAGATTAACTGCTATAGTTTCTCTGTCTTCCTCTACCACCACAAACAGCACCCATCATGGCCACCACCATGAGCACCACCACCATCCTCCACGGGAAGATAAAGAAACTAAGTCTTCCAGACAGACTTTTTCCTAAAGTCCCTGAACTACTCAATGACTCAGGGAGGATGAAGCCATTATCTTCTGACCTTACCATTCTCCCTACCTGGAACATGTTTCATTCTCCCTCTCTCTCCTCATCCTTCGGGTCTCAGCTGAGCCACGTATTTCTCCTCTGAACGCTCTCACATCATCTCGCAGCCCCCTGTACATCCCCGTCACAGAATTTCTCATCCTGCGGTGTCATTACTTGTGGTCCTGTGTCCCCCTCCTGGTCCAGGAGTGCCTTAAGGGAAGGCACCAGCTGTGTGTACACCTCTGCATTCCAGAGCACAGCACCACACGAGTGCAGAATAAATACTTAGTAAATGGAAGGCTGATGGCAGACTCCTTTCACACCACCCTGCTGCTACGTCGAACAGTATGATTTCTCGCTGGAGCACCGTTTGGGAAGCCGGAGACAAATCATACATGGCTTTTTGCCTTACAGTGCTATTAAATAATCTTAGATGAAAACTCAAGGCAATCTTAACCGAATTTTAATGGATTCCATTTCCAAAGCAAGCAGCTCAACTTGAGAAAATAATGCCTTGAAGTGAGGCTTACATTATGTTAACACACAGACATTCATTCATTTTATACCTCACAATCACAGAGCTAAGCACAATGCTCACATAGTTACCAATCCCTCAGCATTTTGAAAAGGGCACCGTCTTTGTACTTGGAAAGGATTTTTCAGAAACAGTTGGACTTGATGAGGTGCAGTGAAAAGCATTCTTCCTCCCAACAAGCTCTTAAAATTCTGACTCTGAACGGTCTCTTTCCCACTTGCCGCTTTTGTGCTTTTAGAAATTTCGAGGCTGACATGACACAAGTCAGACAAACATGACCAAATAACAAAGTATTCCAATCCCTTCCGTCCCCTCCTACTTGGAGGGGGCAAGGAGGGAGTGAAGGCCGCTCCGGGGAAATCCATTTGAAATCTATCTAGTCTTACTTATCTCATTAAAGCAGCAACCAAGTCCAAACCAAATGAAACTCGGACTCCCCAATCAAAACCACATTAGAACACACTGAAAAGGTTACCTGGCTGGTAGGACTGAAAGAAAGGTACATTGAAATTACAACAGATGTAAACTCTTCATTAAAATAGGTCAGACAGAGCCCCCTTTGCTCCCTTCGTGGTCCGGACGCTCGCTCGGGGGCCGGGGCTGAGACCCCCGCTTCACTGGGACCCCCGCCTTCGCTCAGCTCTCGCTCGGGACCATGACCTCTGAGGTGGCGCGGCACCTGCTCTATCAGTCTCACATGCCAACAAAAACAACTTGTCTGTCCTCACAAGTATCTGATGATGAACAGAAACAAAAAAAAGAAAATATTCGTTCTTTAACTATGTCTGGCCATGTTGGTTTTGAGAGTTTGCCTGATCAGCTGGTCAATAGATCCATTCAGCAAGGCTTCTGTTTTAATATTCTCTGTGTGGGGGAGACTGGAATTGGAAAATCAACGCTGATTGACACATTGTTTAACACTAATTTTGAAGACCATGGATCCTCACATTTTTACCCACATGTTAGACTTAAAGCCCAGACATATGAACTCCATGAAAGTAATGTTCGATTGAAATTGACCATTGTGAATACAGTAGGATTTGGTGACCAAATAAACAAAGAAGAGAGCTACCAACCGATAGTTGACTACATAGATGCTCAGTTTGAGGCCTATCTCCAAGAGGAGCTGAAGATCAAGCGCTCTCTCTTTAACTACCACGATTCTCGCATCCATGTGTGCCTCTACTTCATCTCCCCTACAGGTCACTCTCTGAAGACACTGGATCTCTTAACAATGAAGAGCCTTGACAGCAAGGTGAACATTATACCAGTGATTGCCAAAGCAGATGCAATTTCTAAAGCTGAATTACAGAAGTTTAAGATCAAGCTCATGAGTGAATTGGTTAGCAACGGTGTTCAGATATATCAGTTTCCAACAGACGATGAAACTATTGCTAAAATCAATGCTTCAATGAATGGACATTTGCCGTTTGCTGTTGTAGGAAGTACGGATGAGGTAAAAGTTGGAAATAAGATGGTCAAAGCTCGCCAGTACCCTTGGGGTGTTGTACAAGTGGAAAATGAAAATCACTGTGACTTTGTAAAGCTCCGGGAAATGCTCATTTGTACAAACATGGAAGATCTGCGAGAACAGACCCACACTAGGCATTATGAACTTTACAGGCGTTGCAAACTGGAAGAAATGGGCTTTACAGATGTGAGCCCAGAGAATAAGCCACTCAGTCTTCAAGAAACCTATGAAGCCAAAAGACATGAATTTTATGGTGAACGTCAGAGGAAGGAAGAAGAAATGAAGCAGATGTTTGTGCAGCGAGTAAAGGAGAAAGAAGCCATATTGAAAGAAGCTGAAAGAGAGCTGCAGGCCAAATTTGAACACCTCAAAAGAGTTCACCAAGAAGAGAGAATGAAGCTTGAAGAGAAGAGAAGACTCTTGGAAGAAGAAATAATTGCTTTCTCAAAAAAGAAAGCTACCTCAGAGATATACCAGAACCAGTCCTACATGGCATCGGGCAGCAACCTGAAGAAGGACAAGGACCGTAAGAACTCCAATTTTATGTAAAACAAAGGTTCCAGATCACAGAAGGTCATCACAAGCAAAAATTATTAAAATGTTAGAAGTATACTTTGATTTTCTTGCTGTTTTTATTTGCTGTATCATTTATTCTATATCTGGCAAATGGCTGTAGTTACTGCCATTTATGGAAAAATATTTTTAAGTATAAGGTTAATACATAAGCCACAGTGGATGATACCACTTTTATATTCACTGTTGTTAGAAGTTTTCAAGTTGCTGGTTTGTGATGAATCTAAATCATTTCTCCTGTTGCTCAGTTATTGTCAATTACATGCATTGTACCACAGAGCAGAGTGTCAATGCCATTGAAAATACAGAAGTCATTCATTATATGGCTATCTGATTGCATTTATATTCCAAGATGAACTCCTTTTTTGTACATACTAAAGGTAAATTTTGGGAAATATGTTTTAAAATGTATTATGTACCTGAAGGTCTAACCTCTTAATAGTTTCATAGAACCTTTTTTTAGTTTTTGATACCATTATCCAATTGGTAACATGATCCTAAGCTTTTGTATCAAATTATGTAACATGGCCTTCCACAATTCAGTGTGCCTTATTGTGGTTGATGTATTGTTGTGATGAAACAAGATGTGTGTAAAAGTAAAAACATCTAGGTATAAATCATCTAGTGATGAGTACCTTTGAACCTGAGGTATTGCCACTCTATTTCATTAGAATGTTTTACATACTTGTTGTTTAAAACTCTGTTTTCCAGGGGAAAAATCATAAGGTAGAATCATCTTATTAAAAATATTTCTTAAGAAAATAACTGTGAGCAACTGAATATTAAAGATGAAAATTTAGATAATCCATATATTAAGGGATATTTGAATTCAGTGCCTTTGTAGCATTCTTAGAACAATTTAATGCCTTCTAATTTTTTCTTAACAGTCATTGGTATAGGGCGCCTGGGTGGCTCAGTCGTTAAGCGTCTGCCTTCGGCTCAGGTCATGA